GTCAATGAGAAAACTCCAAGGATTCTGTCAAGAGACACTGAGAGATGAGATCGTCTCCTCTGTCAGATCCTTCATAAACTAGAAATTGTCCTGATGCACCTTGAGAGTGGTGCCAGTGGAGCTGCATCTCTTGCTGTTCCAGAACATGAACCAGAAGTTGCTAGGAAATGAAAGGCTAGATTAATATCCATCAGAGGCCTTTTGCAAGGATCCAAGCCATGAAAATAGTGAAATACTATGCAGAAAACAATGTAGGAAAAATAAGAGTAAGAGATGAATTAAAACCAATAATGTTATGGTGAGAGAAGAAAAGGATGTAAAGACAGAAAGTGAGTGGAGGCTAAGGAGCTTCTTACTCTCACAAAATAACAGAATGCTGAAGGATGCAAAAGATCTATTGAATGAAGGCAGATTAAAAAAAAAAAAAGAAGCAGAAGGGTAAAAAGAGAAATAGCTGTGAGAAAAATCTTAGTGATGATGTGAACATTCATTAGTATGAAAGGCAGCAGAGCTCAGCCAAGCAGCTGAGAGGAAATGCGGGTCAAGCAGCAGGCACTGGCCTTTTATGGCCTTGCAGGGAAGGGGAGGGTCCGAGTTTATTCACAAATGTTAAGCAAAAAAAATGCTCCAGCTCAAACACTTGTGACAGAAACATCCACAATGTCGATACTCACGCAGACAAGCCCCCAAATCCAAATGCTGGAATTAAGGGTGAGTCCAGCTATGTCATTCCAGGTATGGTGAGGAGAATGTGAACAGAGCATTATCTCTGCTGTCCCTGCTTCACTTGCTAACTGTGGGCACAGAAGCTAGAGAAATTATCCCTCTCACGGTGACTACACACGTTTCTGACCTTCCATAAGAGGTCGCAGACCAGTTGTGTTTAAATTAATTACAACAAAGTTCCATATAGAGATTTTTACAAAAAATGAGAAGATAACAAAATGTTTCTAGACATCATTTTAGAATGTGAACGTATTTTTCAGCAGGCACTGGAATGTAAACGGAGTGAAAATGAACCATAAATAGAACAGCACTTTCCTAACAACGTATTGAGCAAAAAATGTCTTAATTCCAACACTCTTTTTTTTGAACATAAACTCTCTGTTCCGTGGAGTCAGTTCTTAGGAATGTGAAAAGTTAATTTTCTTCTCTAAAAATAGAAGTTTGTGTGTTTTTTTTTTTTTTTTTTTTTAATGAAGTTATCAAGTTGCATTCTTTCCAGTCATCATTATAAATAGTAAAGAAAAACTTACTAGGAAAGACATCTTATTTTCTGATGATTACTTTGAAAATTCTATTAAAGAAAAAAAAAAAGCACGTGTTCTTGAGGCCAAATGTGTGTGAACATACGCTGTGCGCCAGTGGAAATAAGAAGATTCAGTGTTGCTCTGATTTGGTGAGGATTGCTAGGGATCAGCTGTGTCTGCACAGCGCTTGGAGCAGTCTCAAGACTGCTCTGATTTGTTCTGGCTCGAATTGTCCGAGAGTGACAGATCATAAAATGATCCAGCTGCATTCCTTGCACATCCCTTCTGCAGGGAGTATGGCAGGCAGGACCAGGTGGCCTGGGGCCCAAGTGCTCCAGTTGAAATCCTGGAGTAGCTCATAGAAATAGAAGGAAGGGATATAAGAAACATGATGCATTGGTTCTACACTGCTGCTCACTATGCTGTAGCAAACCTTCACACTGATAGCAGAAAGGCTGGTATTTCTTTCTGGAAATTAGGATTTCTCTATGCTTAGTTCTTCTATCCTGAGCAATTTGAAAAGTTCTTTAGATGAACTGGGTTATTTTTTATTCCACTAGCAAACGCTCAATCTCTAAGTGTACCATGACACATGAAATACAGTAATTTATTTTTAGATTGTTATTGTCCTATTTCAAAAACAAACAAACAAACACAAACATAGTAATGTATCTGAATCATGCCATTATGGTTTGCAATATTGTATTGTCAGGTTTCATGTATTAAGTTTGCCTGTGTCAGAAGGCAACCCAGCCACTTGTTACAGACAAAGGTGTACAGCCAAGATTTTTAATAACGAATGTCAACAGTTACACTTCTAAACCTATATTTAGGCACCTAAATGTGATGGCTGTCTTCGGAAGGTGAGGGACACACAGCGGTTCTATTGCAGTGACTGGATTTGTTAAACCTGGACTGAACTACTACTCTTCTTCATTCCTCTACTTTCCCACTCATTCTATCCCTACATTCATGGCAATTAAGGGCTGTGGATTTGTAAACTCTGATGTTTGTACAAATTAGGGCCAAGGGCTAAGCTTAGAATACCACTAGCATAAATACATCATTAAAAAGGGATCAAGTATGTCTTATCTAAACGATCTTGCTGTTGTCTTCAAGCTGGAAGCAGCAGTAATTATGCCTGCTTTGAAAACGTAAGGGATTTTATCCAATACCACTTTTGCCAACTGCACAACTGAGAGAATCAAAAGCAATCCCTGATGTCAAGGATATGTTGTCTAATGACTAAAAGGTTCCTTCATGCTTTCTCTTCTGACTGTCTATGCATGAACCTCATAATACCTTCAGAATTTTCCATGGTTATATCATTATTCTGTCCTATTATTTAGAACCAAATAAAATCATAATAAAATTATCATATATTTCCTTTAGAGAGCAGTATACACGAATGATCCTTGAGCAAGAAAACCTGGGGAAGGTAAGAATGAGGTTTTTACTCTGTAAAAACATCACACAGTTCATATTTTTGTGGGCCTTACTACCAAATGTTGTGGTCAGTCTTTTATAAAAAGCATATTGCAGCCTACAAAGAAAATTCCATTACTGCTGGCAATGGTAATTAATACCCTGAAAAGAGATCATGCTCGCTCCTCAGGGCTTGATTTCCTGCAGTGTATAGCATGAGCCACTTGTAAAAGATAGTCAAACAGCTTAATGTGACAGCACATTCCCTGTAAACCATTTGGATAAGAAACTGAAACATGGACATAACAAACTGTGCCAGCTCAAATTTTATGTTGTATATAAAGCAACCCGTTGAAGACAATAAATTTTGAGCCTGTCAGCTTTATCACTGTTATTAAAGGCCAAGGGATCATCGTTGTAGCAGTGCTAAACAAAAGCAGTTGTCCGTTTTTAATCTTGCATGAAGCTCAGATCAGCGCGGAAGAAGTTAGGCTTACGATTCATGCTAAACATCTTTCTTTTATTAGTTTTCTTTTTATGAGTCAGTCTGTGAGTGATTTCTGCAGGTTTGGGCCACCACTATTAATGATCAATAGCAGGTTTTGCTGTGAAACATTAATTTCACGTCTATAATATGATAATATGAATGCATTGCAGGCTGCAACTTGACACTGCAAGAGCTCTGTATGGAAATAAACTCGGATTTCTACCATAACTTCTCAAATATATGAGACCATTATTTAGGCGGTTTTAAGACACTGAAAGGATTGTCAATCCATACAAAGCAGATAGATAAGTCCCAGGTGCTGATTCATTTATTGCTTGCAAGGAGTGTTATTAACTTGAACAAAAGGTAATAATATTTCAGTAGCATATAAAAATCCTTGTCATTCCAAGCTGTCTTTGTAAGCAATTTTTGTGGTATAAAACTACTTCAGTAATCTAATATTTTTGTATTTTTAACAGAAATTACGAGAGAAGCAGAAAGTTGTACGGGAAAGTCATGGGCCAAATATGAAGCAAATTAAAATGTGGCAGGACTTTGAGCAGTTAATGGAATGTAAGAGAGAATGTTTTCTAAAACAACAAAATCAAACAGCCATTGGTCAAGTCATTCAGGAAGGAGGTAAAGATAGGCTTGTATTATGAATTCTGCCTTCTTTATAACAGCATAAAGTGGGAAGACATTGTATTGACTTCTTAGAGGTAACCTCTTTCTCAACATTGCTGCTTTCATCATTTCTGTAAAAAATTGTTGTATTTTATTTGGTTTTGGTGGATAAACAAGGAGGGCAACTAAGCACTTGATGAAGCTTTTCCTCCATTGTTTAAGTGACAACAAAACGTGGTTAGGAAGATCTGTTATGAAATCTGCACTAGGGTGAACCTCATCGTAAATCTGTTTTATGAGTCTGGGAATGGCATGCATCTGCAGAGAGATCAAAGGGAAAAAAAAATCCTTTTCCAGGGTCACGGAAAACTTATGTAATTGCTCTGCTCCTTATTCTGTATCTCTAAGATTACATTTTTGCAAGGTCTGGGACTCGATATTGTATAATTGTGGACCTCCTGGCTTGGCCCTCTCCTTCCCTATTGTCTTTATTCATCTAGTGTGACTGGTAAGAATGGAGCCATTTTCACTCTGAGCTGCACAGACCTTGCCTGCACACTCCTAGTCATACTTTCCTTGCATGGTTGAATTAAACTGATTGTGCTTCCAGGAGACAGTTCATTGCTACAGCGTCAGGAGTAGGTTCTGAGAACAATTACTTGGATTCTGAATTTTTTTTCCATTGTCTTTTGTTGGTTTTAACAAATGCATTTTTCTTGCACATATACCTTTTTCTCATTTTTCTTAGTTGTCCACCTGAAAGTGCTAGCTGTGGTCCCCTAAAGGCTTTCTCCACTGAGGGCATCTTGCTGTTTCATGTGTGCAGTGTGATTCCAAAGTGGTTGCACTAGCCAAAGAGGGACATCCCAGGGAAGGAGGGCTATTGATGGATGTAAATATGGCACAGTGGTTCCTGTATATGTCCAGCTATGCCAAACAGGTAGATATGCAAGGCTCCCTCATACTCTGGTTTTAACCTGTGAGCCACAGGCAACTGCCACTGCCCTTAAAATTGCATCGTGAGACCCATGACTGACCCAGGGTAAAAGGAATGCAGATGAGGCTTGAAACTGTCCCTCACGCTTCATCATTTCTGATGAGCGCCTCTTAGTCACAATCAAAGACTAGAAGCAGAGAGATAAGTCTGGGTGACGAGAGCTCCTGCTGTTCTTCTTTAGTCTCTTGGCTTAGTGGATTTCTAGATAGGTTTTTTCTTCTTCTTTTTTTTTTCTTTTTTTTTTTTTCCCCTATTTCCTGCCTAAAGTAGAATGGACTTTATCACTGATAGTTCTTTCAGATGTAATTTGGACACAAAAAATTACTTGGTTTTCTCTGATACATACCTATGAAATCTGCTGCTGTTTTCTCTATCAAGACAGAGTCTGGTAACTGTACAGTTCCTAGTTTGCCTTTACATTAAATATATTTGATAACAGAACTAAAATAAAATATGATGACTCCATTTTGGCTGCATGGTTTTATTTTTCACATTTTGTAGGTGAAAGAAGTAATAGAAGGTAAATGCTTTGTGCCAAGTTTCTTGCTGGGTTACAGGAAAAAGAGGTTTGAAAAGCTCAGGGTCATTTAATGACATTTATTTCAGATGCCCCCCAGAAGGTTCAAAACCCCACCAATGCCTAAGGAGCACGTCCACAGATGCTCAGGACATCCTCATGTAAGCCCTCCCACACTGCTGAATAGCTGAAGATAGTCTTTCTCAACAGCTGCACGCTAATCTTTCCCATGACAAGGAGAAGCAGCACATTCTCCCCTACGCACATTTTCACGGAGCATGAAGGGAAGGCCGCTGTGTAGGACACAGGCACAGGTAGAGTTAGCTGCAGTGAGGGGAAGGCGATGCGTTGCCACCAGAGGCTGCTTCCACGATGGCAGCAAGAGAACAGGCTGGAGTAAGGCGCTGAAGGGAAAACGTATCAACCAGAAGGGGAGAAGCTCAGGAAAAAGGCATGTGCAGACTACACGGTGTGGGCACAGTCATCTCTAGAGCCATCTGTAAATTTTCTTCTTGCTAGCTCTGTAGCATCATTACCATCATGTACCACCATCACCATCGTTACCATACATCACCTGCATTGCATTGTAGAGCCTATAGGTCTGAAGGTTATGGGAGTCATGTACCTGGACTTCCAAATGAGGGTTTGCTGAATAAATGCCCCCAATAGTAAGATAACATAGACATCTAGACATAAGACGTGCTGAAAACTTGGGATAATCACCAAAAACGGGCATCTAGGTTACTTAGGATGCAGTGCGGAAGGACTGCCTGTGGTTCAAAGCCAGCAGAAAAAGGGGGAGGGAAAGGGGATATCATACATTTCAATTCAAAACTTTTACCAAAATCCTAAAAGCTCTCTTTGACTAGACCATTTATACAGAGATTTATTATGTGGATTAGTCTGCTGCCCAGGAAAAAGTAATGCTTTTGAAATTCATAGCAATGATGTAGAGTAAGACAGTATAATCATTTTCTGTTTTTCAGTTCAGAGTTACCCTAAAAATAGTTCATCTTTCTTCCTTGTAAAAACAGTTTATTGCTAGTTACTCAACGATGACGTGATTGTTGCTCTGATCTGATTAGTGCTCTGTCATTTGTACTGCACCAAGAAAGGGCACACAGATTATACACTACAGCAGCAGCAAAATTACTTTCTGAGACGAAGCAGAAAATCATAATAACTGTTATGAAAAGAAAATTGGAAAAACTCAAGCTATTTTTAGCTTTTATATAAGTGGACATTTAATAAATGCAAATTTAATGGATTCTGTTCACTGGCTTTTCCACATAGTTTGGGATTTGATGGGAGCATTCAAAAATCTTTGAGTTTTGCAATTGTATCTTTACTTCCTAACTTGCAACAAAAAGCTTACTTCTGTTTTTTTTTTTTCTGTTGTTATTATTAATAGTCTAGCTGGTTAATTAATAAGATTAAACATACCATAGAGAAAAAATACTTGTCTTTCCCCTGTGAAGGCTGAAATAAATAAAAAATGTGCACAGTTAAACTTGGGGTCTCAGCACTTACCAATTTATTCCATTTGGAACACCGATCAGAGCAGTCACTTACGAGCAGCAGCTTACTTTGCTTCAAAAGGCTTCTCCTTATCTTTATCCAGAACTGGATGAGAAAGTATTCCAGCTATAAAAACTCCTGTAGTGTTGTGCAGCTTTGCATTAGTTAGTCACGTTGACGTCAACTGTCCCTAGAGCCACAGGAGATTTGCACATAGTGCTAAGAAATGAAATAGTTACAGGCATCAGAAACAGGCATGAGAAAACATCACATTCACCATATTATTTAACCAGCCATTTTATCATCTGGAGATCAGATTATTTTGTTTATATTCACAGTACCATTTTACCTCCATATGAGCTATAGTAAGTAAAGTAAATGTTCTTATGCTTCCTTAAGTAACCCAAATCTATGAATACTTACTTGTACACCTTTATTCGCATAGGTATTACTACGAGTGAAGCCATGTATAGTTGCCTACAGACATCACAGTTAGGTGCTGCTATTGTGTTTTATTATGTTTAAATATAGTGATTTCCAGAGCTTTCTTGATAAGGCTTTCCTACAGCTGTGATGGTGATCACTGTTACAAAACACAATACGGCAGAAGCATTTAGAGCAGTTCAGAGCCTAGAAAATGGCCTTATGATGAGCATGAAAAACTGTTCTCCAAATGACTTGCTGGTTCAGGAGCTGGAAATGAAGTCGAGAGCCTTTTTTTCTTAGATCACTGTTTCTTGTCTGGCCCAAATCAACAGCGACTGAAAATTCTCTGTTATACCCAGTGGCTGTCCTCAGCAAGTGCTCCAAGCCGAGCAACTTGGCAGTATCGCTCCAGTTCCTAAATCACCACTCTGGCAGTGTCTGGTGAGCCTGGAGTCAGCGGCCACGAGAAGGCAGGCAGACACGGCTGGGAGGCCGCAGAGGCTGAAGTGCTGTCGCCTGAAAGGTGTCACCTTGGGAGAAAGGTCGTGACACATGGCCGCGGTGGTGTGGGAAACTGGAACGCCGTCATCTTGGTTGTGGATGAGGACAGCATGGATGCTTAGAGATCTGCTTTCTCTCATTGGCCCTGCCTGGATTTGCTCAGATTTAAGTGAAAAAGACAAAGAACTCATTCTCAACGTTTGCCCTACATTATCTTTTGTAGCGCTAGGTCTCCTGCTGAAGGAATGCTGTTAACTCTTCAGCTCCCTATCACAATCGGTAATGGGAACAGATTTTTTTTTTTCAGGGACGTGTCAGGGTTCCAGTGAGGAAATACTTCATGAATCAACATTTTGTCACAAGGTACTACCTGTCTTGACAACACCCAATTGATTAATTGTTTTTTAGCAATCAGAATTTGACCTACTTTCAGCTTGTTTAAAGAGTTCTTTAAATCTTCAGTATGAATTTAAAAGGGGTTCTCCACATTCTCAGTGTCTCTCTTTCTTTAGCGTTAGTTCCACAGCAACAGTCTCCAAAACCCCAAGGCAGCCCATCTTATTCCAAGGTCATTGGGTGAAAAGGGTATTTTTCACAGTCGCATTACACTGATTTTCACGATTGTAACAAAAAAAACCACGCTGTCAGCCACGGTGCCGCGGTAACGTCAAACTCGGTGAGGAGCTCTGGTGTTAGCAATCATACTCCAAATAATCAGCAGGAACTGTGAGACAAATCATGCAGTCCTTACTCTCACAAAACCCTTACTGACTTCAGTGGGAGTTTTGCCAAAATAAGGTCTGCTGGATTTAGCTCTGTATTCTTCCTCCTGACAGAACAAGTAGGAATTAAAAGGGCCAGCATCAGATTTATGAGACAGAGGAAAAAAAGAACTATAATTATCTTTAAAGTAATGACTTTCATCTAACACAAATCAATGTTCCATTAGACACATCCTAATTTATAACAAAAATTGTTTGTGCAAGTTTTTCTCAGCACAACCAAAATCCACAAGTAGTTAGCAATACAATTTGATTTTTATTAGACATGTATGAGAGGCTGTCTTGCACAAATCTAGTGCTGGAGTACTTAATAGTGTTCAAAATGCAGCCTTATGCATTACCTTGTGTTTAACGGTATTATTTTTATTTATTATAAAAATAAGAAGTATATTTTTACCTTTTTTAAAAATCTCCATTTCTCATAGTTTTGAGAAAAGTGTGTTTTTGCAAACTGGGATGCACACAACTGGCATTTGCTGAATGCCAAGAACTAGAGTACTTTTTCTGCAAGAGGATCTGCACAAGCCAATGCCTATTGCACCGTTTCAGTTCAGTCTGTCATTACAGAATAACATTTCATTTTTAATCTTCTAAATTTTATTGCAACTGCTCAGGTCTTAAAAACACTCATTTATACAATAAGCACTTAATTAGGTCTACTTCTGAAATAGGATAAAGCCAAATCCTGCACATTCTGCTAATACTGGAAAAAATGCAGTTGATAGGAGCATGGAAAATGAGATCTTACCAATTTTCAAAGATAAATTCTCTTCTCTCTCCCTACTTCTTTTCCTTCTAATGGAATAGAAAATATGCCTGGCATGTAGGAAACAACAACAAAACTATAAAGGCATACATCTTATACAAAGAATAACCATGTAAGGGAAATAATAAAAGAAATAATCTCACAATGTCTTTATTATATATTTTACAACTGGTTCATGCTGAAAAAATCATGATTGAGATTTTTCTCTAATTAAAATAAATCTGAATGCAATTTTTTAACAGATTACTGTTTTTTAAATATGTTGAAACTCTAAGGTTATAAAATGGGAAGAATAAAGCAGTTTATTTGGTTTACATTATTGCAGCATTTTCTGGCAAGTAACAGTGTTTAGGCATTTCTTTGGAGTTAGCACATAAATCTTAGAGCCATTAGTGATGAATTAGCAAAAGCAAAAAGGGTTGATTAATTTGGAATTCTAAAAATTGAAGATCTAAAAATTAAAAATCATGTGAAAATGATGCATTTTGCGTATTAACTAGCATTTAAATGATGCATTTTTCTGAGACAGCATCCTGTGGACTGCAACATTCAGAAACTGATTTTTTTAGAGTATATATAAAACATCGTACCCACCTCCCTTTTTCCATGTTTTAAAGCTTGCCATGTTTTCACAGCATATTTAAAAGAAAACAGAACTGTATCAGAACACTGAAAGTCACCCACAGACAACCTGTTCCACTAATACTTTTACATTTATACAGCATCTTTTGTCCTAAAGGATTTCTCTACTTCATTTTCATTTTATGTAGGCTGATTAGAGTGCTCAGGTATCTGCATGAGTGAGTCAGGAAACAGTGAGAGATGCAGTTAATGTTCAGAGGACAGCAACGAAAATTGGGAATTTATTATCTCATGAGCAATGACAAAGTCATCTCAAATCTCCTTAGGAAAATAGATCCCACAGCTACAAATGAGAAGAAAACCTGAATCCTTCTAACAAAGAGATGGAATGTGGCATACTTCGTAGTGGGTTGTTACCGATGTGCCTACTATTCCTTTTGTATTTACCACACTGTACTTCAACCATTTGTATGTGAAATGCATTGCTTTAAAATCTCTATACACTAAAGGTTCTTTTCTGCTTGTTGATTTAATTGCGTGAAGTGAAGCTTGATCATAAAATATAACGAGAGGGGAAGAGAGAACTCTTATCCTGGAAAAAGCACTATAAATATTTTCCTAGGATCATTAACACAACCTTGTAACACTTCGCTCAGTGCAGCGGAAAGAATTATACAATCATTTAATGAAATTTCTAAAAAGTGCTTACAATTCCATCCCAAATATATGTGTTTTTTTTTTTTTTTCAAGTGTAAAGAAAACATCCTAAAATTCTTAATTCTGTTATCAAAGTTATTTTCAACTTTTGAAGGGATTCACTTGCTAGGGACTTGGCAGTGTCAAACAAATGTTCGACTTTTATTCTGACACTTCTTGAAGAATTTGATTGAAACTATATATGTCTAGATAACACCCAACAAAGTGCCCCTCTTGCGTTTGTTTCAAGATATTTTTGGAAACAACAGAGGCGACCTTGGATGGAGCTGCTTTTCCAATTTAGGACTTCATTTGGTCTAAGAGAGTAAAATTATACTCTTCAATCCTTTTGTGTAGCCACAAACAAAACAGTGTTATTATTTTATGCTGTTGTAAAATTGTTTTTCTGTACCTTGCTAGCAGTGTCTATCTGTTTAGGATAACAATTATTTTCGGTAATCAACAGTTACTTTCAAATGTACATATAAATAGTCCTCTAGTGTATCACATGTCCCTTTAAAATATTGTGTAATCAAAATGGGCACTGGTCCTTTATGGAATACCTTTGTTTCTTAAAACTAGCGTTAATAAATAAGTGTTACCCTTTATCTTTGCTTATAGAGAAGAATCTGATTTCAAGCCAGGGCTCGCACACACTTGATGTAAAGTCTAAATGAGGAGAGTGGTAATGCTGGCAAGTGCTCTGTGATGGGACTGCCACCTGTCCCGATCACAGGAGAAATATTGTTTGTCAAGCTTCAAGTTTAAAAGCCAAGGTTAGGAGCCAGGTTCTCTGTACATCTAGAGTGGGGTGATTGTTTTTTTCTGACTTTGGTCTGCCAGCTGTGCAATTGTGTCTGCAAACTTTTATTATATTTAATCACTTAGGAAGTTTTAAATAGTTTGCACTTAATTTTTGTTAAAATCAATATACTTTAATTAATTTGTATTAGAGTCTGTTACAGGCACACTGCAATCTGTAACAAAATGAAATTAGCTTGTTGCAATGATAATGCAGTTTCATTGCTGTGCAGAGAAACAGAATTGACAGAGTATGGTATTGTCATTTATCCTCTATAATATTTACTGTCTTAAATAATAATTTAGCCCTGTGTTATGTAATGGTCAAATGCAAAATATAATATGGAAACTAAAGCTGGGATCTATTTGGCATACGTGGTATATGCAAATGCAGATGTAAATCTACTGCTCGGGTATATTGTTTAAACTCATTTGGTCACGCTCCAATGTCAATACATATTTTTATAGCTCCATTTTCCACTCATTATGACTGATGGTTCAAGAGCTAACTGTAGAATATGTAGCTCCCTGATTTTATGGCATTGTCATGTACATTAGCTGCAGACAGCTTAAGAGAACTAACTGTTAATTGATCCTGTGAACCTATATGTATATTAGTATGACTATATTAGCACATGCACAAATCAGGTTAAAATAAACTGTTTGGTACAGCAATTTTCATCACAGAATCTCAAGATAATTTACAAACAACCTTTACTAAAGTCTGTTGACCACACAGCCAGACAAACAAGTTGCTATTATTTTCTAGGTGAACAAACCATGGTACAGAATGAAGCAGAAGCAAAACCAGGAATCTGGTCCCTGTCTCTGGTATGCCCAGGATCCCCAGCTCGATGCTCTACAAGAAACCTGCCTGAGTCCTCTCCTGACCCTTCATGTTCAGAAGCCCTAACCCTCATCCTAGCCTGATGCTTACCAGTGCAGTTGTCAGCGTCCCAGCTCTGAGTATCCTCGTCTGACCTCTGCCACTCCCTAAAAAGTAACTCAGAAGTAAAACATTAGTACATTTGCAATGTATTAATTTATTAAAATATGTAAAGGAAAGGTCATAACAGGTACTGATAAACAAATATGATACGAATGTGAAGCCATTTTTCTGAAATTTTAAATTAAATTCTAACAGGGAGTTTCAAACTATAAAAAGCATCGCAGCTACCTTCACTGAGCTCATGGAGGCAACAAGACCAAATGTGAGATTTTCTGTTATCCTGACAGCTTTTGACAATCACGAAGAGAGAAATACCAGGAGAAGCAGTCCTAAGTAGAAACACGGTGTGCACATGCATACATGCAGGCAAACAAAGATTAGGTTATCTTAGTTATAAAGCAGTGGACAGCATTTTAGGGCAACTTATTTGTGTGCCTGTCCTGTATAAATTTTTAGCCTTTTACAAGTGCCTACGTTGTGCTGTAACTGGAACGCTAATTATACAACTAGAGAAATAACAAGAAACTTTTTCTTGAACACCCAGAGGAAATCAAGTTATTTTTCACTATTCAGTGTTGCTTTCAAAAATGTAAAGAGGCGTGACTGAAAGCACATGGGAAAACCTATCAGGCTTAGAGCGTGGTGAGGGATGAGAAAGTGTGTGTTTCTGGTTCGGTGCCCTGGCCACTTGTGGTCAAAGCTGTTTCGTCTGCTTGGTTGGTGTAACCTCAGTGTTCCGGCTGCTGGAATTGGTTGGAATTGGTTGCAATAAGACCCTCTCAAATACGCAGGAAGCAGATTTATCACTGGAGCACTAATTTTTGTTTTTATATGTGAGAACAAATCCAGGGTCACCTCAGTTAATGAATAAACCAGTCAGTGGTGATAGGCCCTATTTATTCTGATAAATTTGGCTTTAAACAAAAATTGAACTTTTGGCATATATACCACAGGGGAATAAAAAAACATTTTCCCTACAAAAAATACTCAGTGTCAACAACACAAAAGACTTACATATTAATATTGTATGTTGAAGAAAATCCGGAACATCATGGCTTTCACTAAAAAAAACAAAACAAAACAAACAAAAACAAACAAACAAACAAAACACCTTTTTAATGCAAAGTTAAAACTTTCCAAAGAAAAATTATACTTTCTGAAGAAAAAAAAATATGTTTCCTCAGCAAAACAAAACAACACTATTAGCTTTAATGGAAATCTTCTCCTTACTTACTAGATATTCAGCCTGTAATTCCATTAGAATCAGATGAACTGTTCACAGCAGGCTCAGTGATGCTTACAGCATTGTATTCTCCCTGGAAAGGCATGGATATTGGGGTTTAATAATAAGGGAATTTTTCTTTGCTACAGCAGCTGCATCAGAGCCAGCTTTACCTGCAAATACACAGTGCTAATGCAATTTATCTTTGAAACAATCCCTATGGGTACATCGAGGTTTTATAAAAGGCATTCAACAAATAGAGCGGGTTGCAGTGTTATTGCTTCACTGATGCATAAATATTGAATATCCAAACACAACGCTGGTTAATTAAGTTGGGGGTGACTATTGGTCAGAGATAAGGCACACGGTAAGTAAGCATGGATTAAGCCTGCCCTCTTACTGCACATACTGTGGTTGCTCCCTGCATACAATGAGAATGGAGGTTTCCAGGAAATTAAATCCAGCAATAATTTACACCTGGAAGCTAAAAGAAGGTCAACAAATATTAGATGGAGCTTCTTACATTGCAGTGTGTTGTACAGACTGCATGGAACTTCAAAAACAAGTAAAATAACAGTGAGAACCTTGCATTTAACTGAAAGCATTACTTGGCATATACTAACACCTTCATGGAAAAATGTCTTTGCAAGGCAGACAGTAAACTAAAATTCACAAAATGCTGCTTCAAAACCTGACATACATGCAAACCATGCAGGCACGCACCCCCTGCCGCTAGACCAGAGCCAGCAGCAGGCCCAGCCAGCCAATCTGCCAAAAGCAGAGACATCACAAAACATGTTCTGTTTACACAATTTTATTTTCCAACATGACATGGTTCACAGCCATTACTGCACTGATGGTAAAATACTCAATCCTCATACCTGTGTGCTTGCAGTTGTACCCACCTTGCTCAAACTGCTTGCACAGCTGACTCCATGTAAAGAGTTTTGGAGAACTGACCCATCTGAAACCCCTTTTTCCAAAGGTTTTCACAGCCACCCATAGTGGACACACAGGTCCACAGACGTAGCTACAAGAGTCTGTATGCAGGCTCATTCAGCTTGCATTTTTTTTTTTAAAGACAAATTACTACATAAAGTGCTGTCAATGAACTAGAAGGGTCTACACCAAGAAGAGTGGGCAAGTTAAAGAGCATGAAAGAAGCTAGGTGATGGGCAGAGCACGCTCCTGCTCCCACTTATCCTGCCTGTGGAACAAAACTGCTGTAAAGAAAACCCAGACTGCCCAAACAGAAAATTATGCAAGACAGTTGCTTCACATTCAAAAGAATTCTGTCCCAGATGACTTAAAAAAGCCTGTGTTGGTATGTTCATTGACAGGTTAGACTAGCAAAGCAATGCGCGTTACTGAACAGTTAGGAAAA